AGAGGGAGCACGATGCCAAGTCCTGCTCCCACTGCCAGGCGCCTAAAGGTCCCCATTAGGAACCGCACGCAGCCCCCACACCAAAGCAAAGGGTTGTCAGAGATACCGGCCATGTGAGAGGGCAGGGGAGGGTTTAGCCCTGAAAGTAAACTGCTCCCATTGAGTGCCATAAATATTTTCTGTTTGAAATGCCGAGCAACTGCCCTGATGGCAGTGATCCTTATCAGCTAAATTCCCTTCCTGCTATCAGACACATGAGGAGATCAGAGTGAGATCTGTGGTAATTAAAAATGAACAACACCAAATTAGTTAAGGACATTTCCCCATCAAGAAGTAATGGAGTGATTCAGAGGCCTGGATTTCACACCGGTCCCCAGCCTAATGCTCCTTGCCTCCATGCATGTGCCCTACCTTCAAAAGAGTACCAGGAGGGGACATCTTCAATGCAAAGCAGAGGAGAGCCACACAGAGTAGCTTTAAGTGTAGTAACCACTGCCTTTTTCCTAGCCAAGATTTTCACTGCACTTTTAATGCATCTCTTTGCAGGATGTGTAATGTGTCGGCATCAAAATTATGACCCTTCCCTGAACAAACACAAGCGGCCAAGCAGTCTGGTGTGGCCATGCTGTGGCCTGTCCAGGGGCAGCCTAGCCCCATGGGGCAAGTACTGAGGTACCACACCACACTGAATGGCAAAATATAGGCTGACACCCTGATGTGAGGTGTGAAAATGGTGATGGCTGCAGGCTCATGGAGCAAAGAAATGAGAAAAAAAGAGGGGAGTGAAATATAGAAAGGGACATGTTGTCCCAGAGCATTGCAAGCGAGTTACTGTGCTGCAGAGCTGCTTCTGCACTTTCTTCTCCCGGGGCCACTGCAAAGCAGGACCTCCTGTAGTATCACAAATATCTCTTGTGTGAGGTTTCTTCTTTCTTCCCACCTCCTACCTGGGTGGTAGAGATGTGGAGGGGAGGGCAGCAGGAGGGGAAGGTGTGTCATCACTCTGCTCTGTGCTCTCAGCAAAACAAAGGCAAAAAACCCCTTCTTCCAATAACCAGTCATAAAGCAGTCAAAATATGACAGTCCTTTCTACCCTGAACCGCATGACTATTTCTCAGAGGAGTCTGCCTTCTCTGCAGGTAAACTTTGCCAATTAAGTTTTTGAAGACTCAAAAAAAGGGCCGAATCCTGACGTGTTTTGGAAACTACAGCCATTTCAGGGAATGCTGGCAGTTACTCTCAGTGGGTCACAGCCAGCCGTGCTTTGCAGGTCAGCATGTACTTCAGAATGCAGCAGAGCACAGAGACACCCAGCCTAAATTTAAATGGGTTCATTCGAATGAAAAGAAATAAAACACAACATCCTGAAAACGAGCACATCTCGAGATACTGACTGAGCTCTGGTGCCACAGTTAGATTGCTCCAGATATGTGAAGTACCTGAGCTAATATATTTTTAGCAATCTCAAGTGTCTTTTCACTCCACTGGAGACCACAGTCTAGACATATTTACAGAGATGATTGGAGACATTTAACATATTGTTATACCATCTTTCGAATTCCTAGTTCAGGCACAATTTAAAGGAATGACTGCTGAGCATTTGGAAGCAGGAAAGGTTGGCGCAGTATTCTCAAGATCCAAAATTAATGACAGCCTGCAAGTCACTTCTGTTTTCAGGGAGCACTAGAGATCAATAGCAGATATTCTCAAGCAGCAGACATTTCTGAATAGATGAAAACAACTGCAAACAGCACATCATGAAGTCAGCAGCGGTGACAGATGCATTCCCAAAAAACCCCACTTTCTCACCGAGATTCCTCCACCACCACCGTGTCGTAACTCCCACCAAGGACCGCTGAGGGCTCTACCAACCTCAATGAGACAAAAAAAAAATCCCCTAAGAGCTCATGCTGCTATACAAATGCAATATTTTTTAAAGAAAAGAGACATAATTGGCTCATCTGTATCTCAGGACTAGTAGATATCAATGAAAACTTCTGAATATAACAGATTTCCAAAGCTGGAAACCATCCTACCTGGGGTAATTGTACTGTGGTCCCTAGTTCCATAGGCTGATGCACTGAAAGAGATACTTAAGGAAGTCCAAGACTCTACCAAATGTCAAAGTCCCAGCATCAGTATGCTCTGGCATAGGGTAGGATCTACAAGATGCAGGAGAATCTGAATAAATGTGTACAATGTCCAGAAAGACTCATCTCAAATGACATGGCACAGTTATGGTATTTCTTGATAGGCCTTGGGATAAAATAAAACTAGGCCTATGAGAAAAGGAAAGCATTTCAAGGAGCCATTAATTACATTATGAGATGTGTTTGCAACACCTGGCCAAATCTGTGCCACAAATCTCACTCTGTACACAACCCACTCAGAATATAAATTGTAGCTGTCCCAAATACAGAACGCTTCTTTTTCCTCAGGCTACAGAAATCTGTGCTTTCAGTATAAGACATCCTTGGTCCAGCTGCTGTGTCTCATCTCCACATGAGACAGAAGCCACCAGCTTGGAGAATATGATAAGTCAATGAGGAGGTGTCTATCTGTGAGCATTTTCAGTATAACTCATCATCAACAACAGACCTCCATGTGCAAACCCTAAAGAGCTGCAGGGCACATAAATTTCAAAAGCTGCCTCTCCCATGTTATCCCACTCATTGAAGAACGGACTGTCAGCCAAACTCTATGCTGGTTCAAATATTTTGCAGTAAAAATCACCACGTTAGCCAAGCTGAATGAGAGGGGTGTTCTCTACACATTCCTGCAGTGATTGACTGCTGTTGACAGATTCATGTTTTCAGCCTGAAAGATTGGTTGTTCTTAAAGCAAAAGCTGAAAGACTGAGAGAAGAGAAACCTAAAATTATTTTTGCAATAAGAATATAGCCAGACATCTCCTCAAGCCAGATAACCTACTACAGACACACAAAAAGAGACAGAACTACATTAACACCGCTGCACTCCAAAGAGCCCTGAGAAATCAGATTTGAAGGTTCAGTAAAAAAAAGCCAAATATCCAATTGCTTCTCAAACCAGCTGAATTGCCATGCGACTTAACAGCAACACTACAAGGAGGAGAATCATCATACTGAGATGATTTTTCCAGTGCATTTAACAGAATCCTGTACGTTGGTGTATAATAGTACAGTCAATCTACTGGGCAAAGTTTTCCCCTTGTTTAGCAGGGGGGCAGATATGGAGGAGCCAGAGAATCACCTATTTTTATAAAACAGTTAAATCGTCTTTGGAACTGATTTAAGACCAGAAAGACACACAAATAAGAAGAGATGAAAAGGGAGTACATCATTTGTCAAAATCTATAGCAGAAAGTTAAGGAGAGTGTAATGGTGCTGAACCTTAAGCCATTTATCACAAGATTGAAGAAGAAATAGTGTCTATCAGAAAAAATGAGTTATACCTATGTACTCCAAAGAAAACCAAAAGTGGTCATGCAGCAGAAGGGATAACACTATCTGCTCCTTTATAGTGTAGGCAGCCGAAAGTAACAGGCTTGAAGTACAACAAGGGAGATTCAACAGCAGAAAAAGCTGTAACAGGAGGGAAAATTAAAAGAACAAAACAGATGAGCAAACATCTGGAGAGCCTGTGGGCTCTTCATCACTGGAGGTCCCTGAAAACAATTAAGCCAAACATCAGCTGTGAATGACAGTCATTGCTAATATAGATACTTGGGCTGGAGAATGAATTAGGGATCACCTGAGGTGCTTCCCAGGTCTGTATTTCTGTAATTGAAAAACACGTATCATAGAATAGAATTAGAATCACAGAATGGTTTGGATCAGAAGGGACCTTAAAGCTCATCCAGTCCAACCCCTGCCATGGGCAGGGACACGACCCATCAGACCAGGTTGCCCAAAGCCCAGTCCAATGTGGCCTTGAACACTTCCAGGAAGGGGACATCCACAACTTCCCTGGGCATATCTTACGGATATACAGAGATTCCACATTTAAAACCACAAAACCTAAACCTAAATACCAGGAATGACACAGGCAGCTTCTCAAATGATGCTTGCAAGCAGTCAAAAATCTTCAAGTCTGCTACAGAAAATATTTATGTGCCTTACAGTGGAACATATGCCATAAAGAAATGAACAATAAACCTTTACAGAAGAGTCAGAAGTGAATAAAATTTGACCTCTCCTACACTAGAACTGAAAGGACATTGCCGTTGCTCATCTTGCTTGTCAGATACAATAATTTATACCCCCTGGTACAAATTACTGAGAAAGTAAAGCACTGCTAGGATCTTTTATGAAGAGAATTGCTAGAGCAAGGAAGTGTGATGGGAAAGAGCATTCAGCCTGGGAAGCTACAGAGCAATGAGGGAACAGTTCAAATGTGTTTGCAGAGCAGCACCAAAGCAGCACTTCGCTTGTGTCCCCAGATGTAAAGACGTGTTTTAACATTAAAAGAAATGCAGAATCAAGTGATATGAGAACACTCCAAGTTGTTAAAAATAAATATATAAATAAATAAAATGCAAATGCTTCATCATGAAAATAACTCAGGCAATAAGACGTTTACTATGACGTATGCATTCAGCTTATTAATTAGCTAAATAATGCAGGTAACAAGAATTAGGACACTACACAAATACAGAGTAGCCACTCCTGGCCACCATTTTGGCCAGTACAGCTACAAATGACCTGGAGAACTGCAAAACTCAAAAACAGAGTATGGTGGCTGAAGACAAGCAACCACATCTCTTCAAGGGGTGCTGTAATAGATGTGTCTTGTCTGTGAATTAGCATACAAGGGTACCTGTAAACAGATACTGAGTTATACAACTATGCTGCAAAGACCAACCCTGCTCCACAGCTCCAAGAGACAAGAAGAAGGATTGGAGGGGAAGGACTAACTCAGGGTTACTCTGCATATCAGTGCCAGAGCTAAGAAGCCATGCAAGGATAAATAAATAGCACAAACAGCTAGTCACAGTCTGTAAAATGAAAAGTGCTGACATACTGCATTCCTTCCCTTTCACCGGGTCAGGTAGTCCAGAGCACTCCACCGACGGATTTGGGACAGCCACCCTCCATCTGGAGCCACTGCTGTCGCACTCTGTGTACTCGAAGTGGTAATCTGTCTGCAAGCAATTAGAAAGAGTTTCAGTTTCATCATAACATTTGCATATTAAGGTCATTAATCAAGACTGGGATTAGCAAATGCAGTTATAATTAAACCAGAAAGGAAGCAGCTGGTGTGGAACACACTGCAACACTCACATTGCCTTGACGATCACCGTATCATCACAGAGCAAGCACAAAGCACGTTGGATGCTGTGCAGCACAAACACTAAGGCAGCTTTAAGGTAGACTGATGTGGTGAAGTTTGGTTGGTTCCTTTCAATTTAGTTGGCTTCTCCTGGTAGGACTGGCCATAAACCAAGGAAAGGTAAGGCAGTGGTTGTGTTTGCAGCCCAAGGCACAAGTAAAAATGCTCCTCAGCTGGCTTAGCTCACTCTCACTATGGCAAAACTCATCTATGAGGCAGCACAAATTTGACTTTCTGCGCCACCACTGCTGCAGGCATTGCTCCCTAAGCTATGCTACCCTAGGAGGAGGTACTCTGTGCACATAAGGATTATTTTGGGGGCAAACTCATCCATGAGGCAGCACAAATTTGACTTCCTAAAGTTCTGCGCCACCACTGCTGTAGGCATTGCTCCCTAAGCTATGCTACCCTAGGAGGAGGTACTCTGTGCACATAAGGATTATTTTGGGGGCAATCTTTTCCTGCTCCTTCTATGACCCCCTGCAGTGCTGACATCCCACATGATGGAGCAGAAGAAGGGGAATCAGGTGGATAAGGGTCCATTCATACTGGCTCTGGTACAGATTAGTTAATCTCTGCACATATTCAGCTAACTCACAAGGAGAAGGTTTGCTATTTTCCTCATTTATTTATAGAAAAACAAACAATACTGAGTTTAATACTTCTACTGTTACCATAGCTCTCCAGAGATATTCAGATGTTAATAAAGTTCTGCCTAAAAATCATCAAAGCCTTTTCTAGTTTTCATCCAAGTCCAAATAATATTCTGATTTCTCTGGAATTAATGTTTTCATGCTTCAATTAATGTCTTTGTAGCTCAACCTAAGGTTTGAAAACCTAACTAACAGCATGGCAGAAAGGAAAACTATTTGTCTCAAAACTAAATCAAGACATAAGAAGATACTATCAAATCCAGAGCCACACATGAAATACAATATACGAGACTCTCAACTCTACCAATATACTCAATTAAAATACACATTTTCCCCTTTTTCATCTCATTATACTGTCTTCAAGGAACAGGAAAAAAAACCTGGTCTTTAACCATCTTGTTGATGTATCTCAGTCTTCTCCATGTCAGCTGTAGCCAGGCCTACCATTTAGCTCATCTGGGCGGGTACAGTTTCTTTGTTGTCCTATGTACCCGAAGAAACCCATTTTGTTATTTTTCACGTCCCTTGCCAAGTTCAGCTACAGCTGTGCCTTGCCTTGCCCTGCCTTGCCTTGCCTTGGCTTGGCTTTGCTTTGCTTTACTCTACTCTTCTATAGTTCTTCTCCTCTATAGGAGTGCTATAGTTTTATCTAATGTCCTGGTTTACTGGGACAGAATTTTAGAGTGAGTTTTCTGTTGAGGAAAACTGCAACTTTGTAAGGACACATAATAACACACTATTTCATGGGGACAAAGTGATAAAACTTTGTTGTAGATTTCAGCTAACATTGGTGTATGATGCTTAAGGTCTTCAGCAGCCTTGAGATAAACAGGTGCAGAGGCTGGGGGGAGCAGAAACTCAGGGGAGTTGGCTCCAAGCTGACTCCAGGCTGACCAATTAATACTATTTATACCATAAACATAGACATTCACTATAAATTGGGGAGTTTGCTGGGGATGGCCCTCTTCTACCCTCCTTCTTCTTTCCTCTTCCATGGCTGACATCTTGAGAGGGACTTGTTTACCGTCCTAAGCCTGAGGCCTACTCCTCCACAATATTGGCTTACTTTAACACTGCGTACCTTATATTAAACAACTGTTTTTAATATTAGTATTTATTATGATTATTTTATTAAATGTATTGCTATTTCAACCCACAAATCTCTTTTCCTTTTCCTGCCCCCCCTCCCTAGGTGTGGAAGAGGAATTGGGTGACAGAGCACCTGTATAAACCACAACACCTAGAAATAACCACTGAGGGTCCAGCTGTATCCCTCTTTTATAACCAGAATATATCCACGCTGCATCACAAGGGCGGCAGCAGCTCACAACTTTGACCGCACCACTTCAGCTGCATGACCCAGCATCTCAAGCTGGTTTTAGCAGCCATGGTGACACTGTCCTCAGTACCCAGCATAGCTCAGGTCCATTCCTACAAGCTGGAAGCACATCTTGACTGCAGCACTGACACATTCAGAGCACACGTGGTGTGGGCAGGCACTGGAAATCACCCATTAACACTGGCTTACTGGGCTCAGTGCTCCTAATCTGCCTCAGCAATTTGAATTTCCAAATATAGAAGGCTGACAGAGGAGCCTCCTCAGCACCATGGGACTCTTACAACACCCTTGCCTCTCACTAAAAAATGCCATTGCATTATGTTGGGATTTCTTCTTCTCCCTGATGAGGAAATTTCTTCACCCAACAGTTCTCTGAAATTAATTTCATGGTAAATCTATTCCCAGATGTTATCCATTGCCAGCTATTACTCTGGTTTTGCTTTCAGTGTTTTTTTCCCCCCACTATCATCTAGACATATAGTATCTTTAATTTTGGCCATGGGCCTGTTTTAATTTAACTAATTCTGACTTTGTTTTATTACTTTTCTGGGCTTGGCCTTAATGTTCTAAACATGTCTCTTCCCCAGTTCAGGTGTTATTTCCTATGACATTTCCCATTATATTGCTCATAATTCCTAGGCTTTGGCAAAACTGGTTTGAATTTCAGACCCAAAAAGCAGGTTTCCACAGGAAAGCATCTCTCTGGAAAAAAATAACACCACCACATATAGGGTTAAGCTTAAAAAAAAAGCCATTTTCTAAATGGAAAATTGGTGCTCTTCCAAGAAGCCGCTCAGAATCAATGTGTAGTCCTCAGCATTAAATTTCAAAGGAAAGGTTAATAGTAACCTGAAAAACGCTGCCAAAAATAGGCGAATGTGTTTGTTTTACCCTGTGCTGAATTTTGCTTTATTTTTCTTGGAGAATTAGTGAAATCACATCTGCACTACCATGCAAAGCCGTTATAAGAAACTCTCTGGCATACATATGCTCCCTTTGAAGGGCATTGTGTACAAAAAAGATGCCCTCGTGCACACACATGACGTTAGAGATGGTGCACTGGTCACAGTGCTGCCAGGGGGAGAAAAAAATGACAGAATTTGTCTAGTGCCCTATGTTCAAAAACATCAATACGGGATCAATGATGTGGGCCTGTCACCCATGAATGTGTCCTGTGCAAAACTCCAGCACATATCTCCTGGCTCCGTGGGGCGCCCGCACCTCCTGCTCTGCAGCCTACCATAAGCTGAGCAGCACTTCAGCCAGGTGTTCCCCTGCAGTGTGTCCTCCAGCTCCACTGCCCCTCTTCTCATACAACTCTTGGCTTTAAGTGGACCGAGTGCTCCTTCTTGCGCAGGTCCCCAGACCCAGTGCATGCAGTGCTAGATGTCTCCATTGCAGACCTCTACATCTAAGCCAGCCATCTTATGGTCCTTTACAGCAGTTGACAGACACAGGCATTTCCAGGGCACAGCTCCTCCGGTCTTAAAGTAAATGCGTATTCCAGGACATTTCTGAAACTGTAGAAGCTTCCTTTCCACTGACTGGAGATGAGCCAGATGAGCCCCTGTAGAACTGAGCTTTCTCTATTACAAAAAGCAACACCCACTTCAATGCCTTTCCTATTTTTCTGCACCAATCTTCTCATTGCCTCCTTTCACTTATCTGGGAGATGCCCTATAGTTCTTCTTGCTTAACTAGAGCCGAAGGCAGAGAGGGCACAAACCCTTACAACCAGTTCCCAATGAACCGAACACTTGATCTGGGCAGAAAACAATGGATGAAGCCCAGGAGCAATAAACATTTACTGTATCTGTTATGAAATACAATAGCAAGAGTCTCTTGCAATTTAACACCTTGCTCTTCTTATGTTAGTTGCCACCTAGAGATATCACTGAGCCAAAAAAAAGGAAAAAAAGCTTCTATCCTACCTGCCACAATATTACTGAACAGCTCTCAAGAGGTCTGACACTTATTCCTTCCCTGAATGTGCCCTGCTTGTTCCACTGATACTTTTGCTTAACCCGATTAACTGCACACAATGCTATTAAAAGATATTGTCTGCCAAAAGGGGCATCCATAGTCTTTACAGACCCATGTGCTAGCTATATTTACATGTGCAACAGGGATTAGTTGTGTATTCATGAAAAAAAAGAGAGACACAAATAAAAGCCGCCTTAAGAAAAGAATGAATACAGGAGGAGATAAGAAGGGAATACAACCCCACTGAGCGCTCCTGTGATCCCCCCAGACTAATCACACTGAAAAGGAGACAATGCTTTCACTTCCTTGGTACACCAAGACGTGATTCCCAAAAGACGGCAGACACAGAAGCATGGCAGTCTCTCTGCGTGGCTGGGTTTCCCTGTGTCTGGCCTCTGTACTGTTAACACATCCAAGGACCACACTTTCAACATTTTGAGATTACTCCAGTGCTTTCAAGGGCCACCACTTCTGATTCAGGCTTTGAAAGAGGAGCTGTAAGTTCCCATTTCTTATTAGTTTTGGGCTTCTAGCCCATCCTCTTCTTTTACTGCACTCATTACTTCTAATTATATCCTCTGGCATCAGTAAATATCCCTGTTTCCCCTCTGTGCTCCTATCATCCCCAGCCCTAGAGACAGGAGACCTGTCTGTCAGCAGGGCTCTGTCGCATCACTCATTCAGACCCAGTGCCCAGCTCTACGCTTTTCCTGAATATCAACATGTTCCTCTTTAATCTCCTTTGAAACTCTTATATTAGTGCTTTTCAGCTGAAAACTTGAGCCAGGCTTTCAGTTATTTCCATTCCTATTCCTAAATCCCCAAATTCCTGAAGATACTTATGTGTAT